CATGTCTGTTCGTCCACCCATTGTAAAGCGAATTTGATGGCGCTATATAAATATCTTAATAATAATAATTAGATTTTATTTATATTTAAATATTTAAATATGAGCCTTAATTGTAAGTATGTTATACACCAAACCTTAGACTTAGAAAAATAGACAAAAAAATGACTTGTGCATTCAAATATTATTATTTTGTTTTAAATATTTTTATTGTAGTCATGTCATAAGTTTGGTTAACAAATATTTTTTATATGATGTAGCGTGTATTTGCCTGCGCAGAGGCATGGTTATCGGTACATTGTTATAAGCCGTTGGTTGCCTGCGCAGAGGCGGGTTTTGCATACTTTATGCATAATAATTATCTGACATACATTGCGGTTTGTGCACGTCTGGATGTATGCGTTTATTTTATGTAAATGTTGTGGTAGACATACAGGTACGTTTTTGAACCTTGTCGTGAGCTTGTTGTGTCTAATTAGTCCCTGTATGCTTCGCGTGTGCTAGAGTTTTCGACTATTTGTCGCGTCTGTTGGGATCATTGATGTTGCGTTTGGATTTTACTTATGGCTTTGTGCAGTAGGTCTTTATGTGGGAGTGTAGTGTGGGTGCATGTGGCGTGTCGGGTGACCGGGGTGGTATCTCCTATATGGTGCCTTTTATTCATGGTAGGGTTCGGAGGTCATATCTGATTCCAATTGGGTCCATGGTTTGGTGCCGCTAGACACCGAACAGCTGATGATTCTCTTTAGGTGTGCAGCATGGTAATATTTATCAAAATCTGGTAGCGCCAAGCCCCCTCGGAGTTTAGGTAGGATCAGTTGGGAGTGTGCTACGCGTGGGGATCTGCCCTTCCAAATAAATCTGCGGATTTCTGTCTTTAGTGTCGAGAAGAACGTTTGCGGGGCAAGTATCGGTACTGTTTGAAATATAAATAGCAGTTTGGGTAGTAGCATCATCTTAACCGCATTCAACCTTCCCAGCCACGAGATATAGTATGAGTTCTATTTGTGCAGTTCTTCTGTTGCTGTTTTCAGTATTGGGAGGTAGTTGTGTGCGTATAGATCTGCTGGGTGTTTCCTCTGGATCGTTTATCTGAGTGTGTGATTGACGGTCAGGTTCAGGATCTCTGACTTCGAGTGGTTGATTTGAAGGTTCGAGAGTTGGCTGTATAGCTCGAATTCCGTCTGTATGGCCTGTAGGGAGGTCACCGGGCTCGTGACTATGAACAGGAGGTCGCCTGCGTATGCCAAGATTTTATGGTGTGTGTTTCCAATTGTTAGTCTTTGTATGTCCACATTGTGTCGGATTGTGTTGAGGAAGGGTTCTAATGTCAGCGCAAAGAGTATGGGCGAGAGCGGGCAGCCCTGTCTGGTTCTGTTGTGTATCTGGAACGGGTCCGATAGTGTGCCGTTGATCCTGATTCGTGCCGTTGGGCATGTGTATAGCACCACCACCCAGGTGAGGTATTTTGCCCCTATGCTGAGGTGTCGGAGCGTTTCGAACATCAGGTCCCAGTATACCCTGTCGAACGCTTTTTCCGTGTCTGTTGACAGGAGTAGCACTCTCTTTTGTGTTCTGGCATGTGCTATAATGATCAGGGTTCTAATGGTGTTGTCCCTCACCTCTCTGCCTGGGATGAACCAGTCGGGTCGCGAGGACACTCGCCAGGAGTTTGAGGTCCGTATTTAGCATGGAGATCGCGCGGTAGCTAGAGCATAGTGTCAGGTCTTTTCCCTCCTTCGGAAGAAGGGTAATGTTTGCCAAAGTGAATTGGGTCGTCGGTATGGCTCCTTCGTGGATGGAGTTGAGGGCTATGAGGAGTTTTGGTATAGTGTCCTGTGCAAAGGTCTTGTAGTACTGGAGGGGGAGGCCGTCCGGGCCCGGTGCTCTGCCTGTTTTCGCTCTTTTGATAGCGTGTGCCAGTTCCTCTGGTGTTATAGGTGCCTCCAGTGTTTCTCGGTCGGCCTCTTCTATTTCTGGCACATTTGCCATGTCTAGGTATCTCCGGATGTCATCGATTTTACTGGGTTGTGGTGCTCCTGGGGCCTCTCGGTGGAGGTGGTATAAGTCTTGGTAGTAGGCTTGAAACGCTGTAGAAATCTGGTCCGGTGTGTGTCTGAGTCGCTGTTGTGTTTCTTTGATTTTTGGGATGTAGAGTTGGGTTTTGCGTTGTTTTAGTAGATTTGCTAACAACCTCTCGCACTTGTCCCCGTGTTTGTGTATCATATGCTTTTTTAGTGCTGGTAGGAGCATTGGATCGAGCGGTTGAGGTGTGTGGTCAGTTTATCTCGTTTGGATACTAAGTCTCTGTACGTTGTCGCGTCTAGGGTGCGTTTGTGCCTGGCCTCTAGGAGCGCTATCTCCTGGCTGAGGTCAAGAACCTCTTGCACCGTCACCTTCTTGCGAGTTACGCACATCGCAATGATTTGGCCGCGTATCACAGCCTTGTGTGTCTAACAGCATGTCAGTGGTGTCACATCGTCCGTCTCTTTTTCCTCAAAGTATTCTTGGATGGAGTGGCTGATCTTGTCTACCACTGTTACGTCAGAGAGGATCGATTCATTCAGACTCCATGACATCTGTCTGGGTCTAAACAGTGGTGATTTCAGCTGTATGCGGGTCGGGCAGTGGTCCGACCAAGTTATTGGTAGGATCTCTGCGGTGGTGAGTAGGGTCAGGTTTTGCTGTGGTATAAGGAAGTAGTCTAATCTTGTGTTTGTTGAATGAGTCATTGAATAGAAGGTGTAATCGCGGGTCGATGGGTGTAATGCCGGCCAGCAGCCCGCTAGTTGGTGGTGATGAAGGAGGCGGAGTGTGTTTGCTTATCTGTTGCGTGGAGTTGTGCCGTGTGTGGATGGGGAGTCTTGGTCTGGATGTAGTGTCAGGTTCAGGTCTCCTCCGATGATCAGAGTGCCTTCTGTGAATTACATAAGGGTGCTGAGCAAGTGTCTTAGATAGTGGTGTTGTTTCGTGTTAGGGGCATATACGTTGGCGAACGTGTATGTTTGGTCCAGGATAGTTCCTTTTGTGAGGATATACCTTCCTTGTTTGCATCTGATGGTGGCATTCTCCGAATAGGGGACGTGCCTGGAGAAGAGAATGCACACTCCTTGTGTGCGTCTATTGGGGTTGTTGCTGAAGTATCCTGTTTGGAAATTACGGTCCTTTAGGGCTGGTGCTCTGCCTTCTTGGAAGTGTGTTTCCTGGAGAAATGCTATCGATGTGTTGTAATGTTTCAGGTCTCGTAAAAGCCTCGTTCGTTTCTCCCTGATGTTCAAGCCGTGCACGTTGTAGGAGACTATACTTAGTTCCTCCCGAGAGAATCCGTTCGGCCCGGGGTTGACATTGTCCGGGCGGCCAATGGAGACGACTTGGTAAGGTGGTGGGGGTGGGGGGAGGGGGAAGGATGGTGTGGGGGGGTGGTTTGTTGGTGTGGTGTGATGCAGTTGTGGTCACGTCTGGGTTCTGTAATGGGTCTGTGTGGACTTGTTTTGTCTTAGGCGCTACGTAGTGTGTACAGGTTAATGGACAAGTGTCCCGGTGGTGCGACTGTTCGATCGACCAGTCGGTAGGTCTGGGTCGACTCCGGGAGTTGTGTGTCCCCTTTCCTGTAGAGGGTCTTATGTCCTATGCCTGTGGGGGTGTCGGGCTATGTGTCTGGGATGGCTCAGCCTGTCCTGTGGCGTCCGCAGAGTTTATGTGGGTTTTGTAGTTTGTGGTAGGTACGTGGTACGTGTTCTCCCGTCTCTTTAGTGGCTGTGTGATTGGAGCGTCCGCTCTGTCTCTCGCTGTAGTTCATGCGTGGGTCATCAGTGGTACGTTAAGTGTGCTATTGCTGTCCCTCTGCCGGCTTAGGGCAGTCAGTTTGGTTGGTCATCCTGCCAGCTAGTCTACGGGCGTGATTGAGTTAAGGGGGGACCCCATTTTGCGGGCCTTGTGGGTTTATTGTTGTGATTGTGTGTCATAGTAGTTTTGTGTGGCTAAGCTTTGCTGGGTCAGGGCGGTCTAGTAAGGTCTTGGGGTGGGCTTTGTCGTGGGTCAGGTTTGGGGGTGCTGTTTCGTGGCCTCTTTTGAGTCTCACGTTCTGTTGTATTGCAGGTGAGGGTTGGGGTGGGGTGTCATAGCGTTCTCCGTCACATCACTCTGCGGTGTCCCATAGAGCCGTTCCACCCTGGTGTTCCTCGTCTCTAGGTCATGTATGCTGTCAGAATAATTGCTAGGGGCTTGTCTGATGCCGTATTTGGACGGGTTCCGGCGAGGTGTGCATGAGAGCGTTATACACGCAATAACATTTGTAACATTTACAGCATTAAAGACAATTAAATCCCCCTGTGGTCATTTCCGTTTTGTTGGCTTTCAAGTTCTCTGCGGATGTTTATTTTGCTTTTGGCCTTCCATCTATTCCCTACATTACTATTTTGTGTTGCCTTTATGCGTCCTAATTTGGGGTGGTTACGCGTATGTATTAGCCTTAGACCGTTTCATATCATGTATCTGTATCATGGCGTTGATATATGGTTTCCTTTTTTTTTTTCTCCCCTCCTCCCCCTCTTCTTTTTCACCCCGCTCTCTCCCCCTTCTATCCCCCCTCCCACCTACTCCTTCATCCCCCCCTCCCCTCCTTGCCTCCCTTCCTCCCTTCCTCCCTTTCTCGTCTCCCTTCTCTTGTATCATTCTCTCCCTTCCCTTCCTGACCTCCCCACGTGTGGTGTGGCTGTGGTTCTAATTTTTTTTGCCACCTTAGCATACAGTCATGTCGTGGCACTGGATAGTTGCGGGTGGGTTCGTCTGCTTTCTCGTCAGCCCTCTCAGGCGTCGGTGTTGGCACGTTTTCCCGTTTCCCTCCCCATTAGTCCTGTTCCCCCCCTCACGGTGTGGGCACCCATGTGATGCTGTGAGAGTAGCGTTTTTGTCCCCTCAGTCCCCCTGGTTATCCGTCCCCCCCCCAAATTCTGCTTGTGTAGATGTTAAGCCCGTGTAGGTCCCCCTTTTTTTTTTTTCTTTTACTCACTGTTCGTCTTGCTCTGTCGGTGGTCCGTGCGTCCCCCTACTGTCGCCCTGGCTGTGTGGTGCTTCTTCTGTTTATTGTTCCCGCCTCGCTTGGTCTTGGTTCCAGCCGTGTTGGCATTGGTGCTGGGGCCTTTTAAGGCCGTGGTCGGGTCTGCGTGGTTGTTGCGGTCCTGGTGGTTGCTGGAGGAACGACCTCGCCAGCCAGTCGGTTACCTGTACCGGCGGGAGGCCCATAGTGCGCATGAAGCCTGGGACTTCTTCTGGTTTCCGTATTACCAGCTGGTCTGGGCCGTGTCTGACTGTTAGGGAGAATGGGTATCCCCAGCGGTATGGTATTCCAGCCTGTTGCAGGGCCGACGTCACTGGGTGCAGGACTCTCCTTGCCTGCAGCGTAAATTGGGACAAATCTTGATAGATGGTTATAATTTGTCCCTCTAGGCGGAGTGTGGCCATGTGGTGGGCTGTGTGTAGGATTTCTTCTTTTAGCTGATAATTGTCAAGACTGCATATTATATCCCTGGGTTGGTCCTCTGGTGCTGGCTGGGGTCTCAGTGCTCTGACTAGGCCTATTCTGGGTATATGCTGCCCCCCCAGTACCTGGGTGAAGATCTGCCTCACCATGGGCCCCCTTCTCTCACCCCGCGGACACGCAGGTTCAGCCTGCGGCTGCGGTTGTCCAGGTCATCCACCCACGTGGTGAGCTGTGCCATGTCTGCTTCCTGGCCTGTTACCACTGAAATGGTGTGTTCCAAATCCGTCCAGAGGGCCTTGGTTTCGGCCTCCGCTACTGTCATGCGGGCCTCCACATTTGACAGGTCCGAGCGAAGCTGGGCTACTTCTTCGCGGACTACGCGGCCTAGGCGGTCGGAGAGGGCCTCAAAATCTGATTTTGTGAGGAGGTTGGGCAGTTTATCCCTCCACTCACCGTCCGGCGTCACTTGAGGCTCTGATGTAAAGGACGGGGCCAGGGAATATCTGGCTGGTGTGGATGGGAGTGATTCAGGTACCTGGCTTGTGGCCTCCATTTCTCTTTGCGGTGATGGGGCGCGGGCCATGGCGTGGAGATAAGATCTGATTGACTGTTCTCCCCCGCGGCCCGCAGGTCTCGGGGGGCTTCCTGGGTCAGCCTGCTTCTTTGTGCGACCCATCTGCGGTGCGTGGGTGAGCTGGGTAAGCTTAGTGTGTGCGGGATAAGCGGGCGCCATGAGGAGCTCCGGGTTTATGCGTCCATCTTAGTCGGCCACCAGACACGCCCCTCTTCCAAATATTGTTATTTTGTATAATTTCAAAGTACCCTGAACACAATTTTAAACAACACATTGCTGTTTTGTCTATATTTTTAGTGCTAGCTCTGCACATCATACTCTATATATCTGTTTCAAGTAATTAATCGTCCATTAAAGGGGACAAGAATTATTTGAAGCAGTGGTTATCACCTTGCAAGCATTTATAGCTTTACAGTTCAAGTGTGGGAAGGAAAGTGTGAAAACCACAACATTGCTCAAAAATATTTAGACACAAATCCCACAAACAGAATCATATTTAATGATGTATTATTTTCCATTTCATTCTTATAGTGAGTTTTCTATTATAGCCATGTTTGATTATCTTAAAAAAAATATTCTTCTTTTACTTCAGAAAAACATTACTTATTCCATTAGCCAAGTAATCTAATGTCAGTTTCTTTTAATTTACTATCACAGAGAGACACGTAAGGATGGATTTCCCAAGTAAGTTGGTTAATTAAGTTGCTAGGATAATATCTGCCAAAAATGGGGTACATTGGCATTGTGACAGGCTTATAAAACATATGATCAAATACTGCAACTAAATCCCCATAATTTTTGCCCAAGCTTGGGTTTTTTTTTTTTTTTTAAATAGTAATTTTGTGAGTTTTGAAGCTGACAATTGGTGAGTGAGTGCACATAATTTGTTTTATCTCTATATAAATTTTAAAGAATATAGGTGATTTTCAATGTTTTCTTCAACATTCTAATCTCCAGAGAAGTAACAGTTCCCCTCTAAATATTCTAGCTAAAAATTGAAAATTTGTCAGACCTGATCGATCATTAACAAAATTTTAAGTTAAATGTTTAATTTGACTAACAGTTGGCTTAGTAACTTTTAATGAACCTTTGACTTCGACTCTGATCACATAATGTATTTGTAAATTACAGAATAAACCACAATCTAGTAAAACCAAAGGCTTGTTGTATATATACTCGGCCTGGACATGTGCACGATTCTCTAGAGAGCTAATAAATCTAGAGAAATTACTTCTTGATAACAATTGAAGAAGAACCATTTCAGGTTCCCTGCTTCCCAGCTTTAAGAATTATCACCCCTGCATCATCTACAACTAACGTAGTCCTCGAACAATATGATGATCAATATCTTACAATGGGGTATTTAAATGAGTCACTATCCACATGAGAAATACTGAGAACGTTAGATGTGTCCTACAAAAATATAGCTGAAGAAACAGCGGGATATAGGGAAACTTTTCAACCCAGGCCTTGTTCTTAAGATTTGTAGCCCAAACATACATTAGCCATGGATGTTCTAGAATGCTAAGAAAGTAGAAAGCAGGGATGATGATGAGAATGAGACATAGTGTGTAGCGTGGCCCCCTCGTGACTCACACATTAAAATAAGTGATTCTTTGAGTGTACAAAGCAGCTGTTAAACAGCTTTGTCTTTCTTTTTGAGATGCTCAATTTTTCTTTTTTCTTTCAGCCCCCTTCTAAGCAAACACCTTTTCTTCTGCTTATCCACAGATGTTAGATTCACTTTTCTTCTCTGTTGTACATTTATCATGCATCTTTGGCTTGGCAGCACGTGTGTCTTGATGACAAAGGTCAGATAGACACCCCCACCAACAAGCTTTAAACCACTCATTCGGTGACCAGGTCAAGAAGGAAGAAAGCCTTCTTCTGTCTATTAATGAAGTGAAGATTTATGAAACGTAATCTCGTTGGGTTTTTGTAAAGAGGCATTATTTGTAGTATGTGTGAGAAAATGAGATTGGTCATGTTTCTCAGAGTGTTGATATTGTGTTGATGTGTTTAATTCTAGAGTCATTTTCAGTTCTTTGAGTTTTCACCAAACAAACACCGCCCTGATATTTTCCTTTAATATTAATTCAAAGTGTTTTTTTTACCAGGAATTTCATAGGTTCTGATTTTTAACATGGTCTGTATTGGTTCTAAATTTAAAGAACACAATGCAGTTCTGTAGCCTGTTGAAAGAGCTCATGATGATGTCATAGACTTGGTGCTATGTCCACATTTCTATATTTTTAACACTTCACCGCTCGTTGATTGCAGATGACTTAAACAGAAAATGAAAGTTAAAATGAATACCTTTCGTGCCACTGGGATTTGTCCTGTTCACATCAATGACAATTATAGCAGGTTCAGAGACAAGTGGAATGAACAAAAACACTTTGTTATATACACTGGGGGATTTACCATGTAACATAGTCACAATAACATAGTCAGGAAAAGTGTTATAACTTATGAATTTTCCTCCTAAATAGAACATCTGCATTCTATTGAGAACTACTGCTAGTATGGGATGACATGATATTAACTCATTGGTACTGTAAGCAGGTAAGGACAGGGGGAATAAAATTATATTAAATTTCCACAATGGAAAAAATTGATGGAAAATATTGTTTCTCCAGAAGAAGATTACAACATATGATAACATGAAAAGGACATGGTAAATAAATATAATAAACCCTGAAGGTGGCATAGATAAGTACCTGAATTTCTGACAGTGAGTTTGATAATAAAATTACATCATGGGTGCTGGGAAGGATATGACATCATGGGCGGCCGACAGACAGGAATTATGAGTCAAGAAAAAGGTGACAAATTGGTGATGCAGAAATTCTGAAATAAGAGACAGTGACACCTCAATAGTGAATAGGAAGTCTAACCAATTGCTATCTTGTAACGAGAGAACAGGTATCAGTGTTCCTTTGGTAAAAAACTAAATGATTTTATCTGCGTAAAAGAAAAATACCAAGTAACCCACAGAATTTTCATTTTTATTACAGAAAACAAAATAAATATATAAAAGGAAATGTGTAAGAAGAGAAGAAGACAGAAAAGATATTCTTTAGGACATTTATTTAGGTTGTAGATATTTTGACATTATTTTTTAAAGAAAATTAGAAAAAAAAATCACCTAATCAAATACAGAAGAACTAAGTTCCAAATCAATATTAGATCTTGCCGTCAATCAATAGGGACAGGTCTGCCCATTGGTTATATTCAATCCTTATTTGGTGACATGTGTCCACTAATGCATCACAGTCATCCTGTTGACTTTGCCATTATTGTGTATCTATTAGGGACAGCGCAAGATAAAGTATGTGTGATCATTCACAAGTCACAAACAGGCTGGTTTTCAGCTTGTCCCAGATGCTGATAAATGAATAGGTTTTGACATGCGGCACATATGAAAAGGATTCTGGGAGGGGCAATGCAAATGGACCTGGAACAAAAATAGCTGGTTTTTAAAACTGTCAGTAGCTCGGCTGGAAAACAAATTTTACATAAGCTCTCCCGCTGATATCAAAAGTGCAGATCTAAAAAACAAAAACTGTTATTATCATCACTATAACTTAGTTATTCATCTCAGAAAACATTTTCAGATCTTTCGTGTTCTAAAAAGGTTTAAGTGAACTGTTTAGGACCAAAATTCCAAGTAGTTTATTTGCTAAATAGTGAATTGACAACTGAATGTTTTCAGACTTAGAAAATGATTAGTGTATGGATTAATTTGGTATATTACAGTTGTTTAATTGGTTTATTTTCCTGAATAATAAATTGACAGCAGAATATTTTCCAACTTGGAGTGTGATCAATGTATGGATCATTCCCTCCTCGTATTTGGAAAACCGAACTACCAACCTGAATGCTCCCTCAAGCATATCTGTATAATTTCCCTTCCCATTAAATTTAAAGGTGGCAGAATATTTTAATATGAAGTCAACACAAGATTGATGAATTTGCGTGTTGCAAACTAAAGGTCCCCTTGAATTGTAGTTATCAATTCTAGTTTAGGTTAAAAAAAAATTACAAATCAAATTGATTTAATGGAAACACAAAGCACTGGAAAAGATGTAGCATAAAAAACATTAGGTAGTGATACTCATGGGGTAGCATGTATCCAGTGGAACTTGGAGCAGTTTCAAAAAATGCAAAACAGTAGAAGGTGTATAAAAAAAAAAAAGAAACTTTTTAAATAATTTGCAATTGCAAATACTCTGTGATAAAAGAGACTTCAAGCTTTAGGATAAAGGGTACTATAAATCAACTGTATATACATATGCAGTGACACGCACGCGTACACATACATATTTGTGTTCGGAACTTAAATCCTCTATATATATGTATACACACACACACTTACACAGCTTTCCATAATTCTGTCCAATAATGAATTTGTGCGCAATGTTCAATGTTTGAAAATTAAAGATAAAAGATACTACGATAATCTACTATGACACATCTGCATTCTGCATCATTGGACTGATTTCACTGCTCTTTAACTTCAACTCAGGTATAAATATAAACCCCATAAAATGACCGGCCCCTGGAAATGAATTTTGGGGAAAAAAGGTGAACATAGTACGGCATACATAGTGAAAATTACCACTATTCTTATTCGTTGAATAAAGATATTTCCCATAAAATGTTGTAAACACCTCTGCTGATTCTAGGACACTTTGTATCCTTGCCGATATCTTTATTGGGCCCCTCTGATTAGAAGAGCCGTCAGATTCATGTTTTATCAGCAGAAAATCCTGTGTAACATATGTCATGGGGCGAAGAGAAGATCGCCGCCTCCTTTGTACTATGCAAATTTTCAGAGAGAGTAATTCGTTTAATCTCATTACCCTAATTAAGAAGACATTGTACTGACATAAAGACCACCCTCCTCCCCTGTGTGGCTCTCTAATGCAGAAATAATCTATTGTTCTCCCAAATGACCTTTAATGGATAGCTATTCAAGACTTGGCATTGGATGGATAAGTGTTTTC